TTCATTATCAATTACATCACTTCAATTCTTATTTGCTTCCAAGATCTTTCAAGACTCTGTGTCAAGTCCAGTCTTTGCATCTATAATTAAAATTATGGCATGCCCTTTATTTGAAAATGTGATCTACTTATAATGAACCAGTATCACATGGGCAGAGGCTTTAATACTCAATTTCTCAAAGCTTCGAAAAATAATTAATTTTTTACTGTTTAATTTAGCCACAATTCTCTTTCACTGGCACACTTGCTAAAAGAATGGATGAGTTCATTTCCTTACCCCGCCAGTAAAAGTAGAAAAATGGGTTGCTCTTTCATTTACGTCATTTTAAGTACTTTTAACTTCTGTGCAAAGTAGATACTATGTTTGTGACCAGGTTGGCATATGTAGTTTAAAATACAGATTTTCAAGTACATTTACCTGCAAGAAATCCTAGTGATCCCAGTGAGATTTACTTCCAGGTAAGAATGTTGAGGCTGAGCTATTACCATAAAGTACCCCAGAAGAAGAAGAAAAGGTTTTCTTGTGTATTCCCACCTCATGTTTTCCATGATGATCACATATTCCATTTTAGCCTGCGAGTCTCACAAAAATACTATTGGCTTCCATGCTCCTCTAGATTAGAAAATATTAGAAATGTACATAAGGAGAAAACTAAACAGTTTATACAAAGTTCTATATACTCCACAGACGCTGGTTCTAAAACAGAGATGTGTAAAAAATAAAATATTTACAGATATTGACATAGACATTCTGCCATATTAGCAAGATGGAAAAACATTGTCTCTCCAATTTTCAACCACAGGTAAAAGTTCACAGGAAAAAGGTAAGGACTGAACAAAACTTATTTATAGCATCTGATGATAAAATGCACATTCCGTACTTTTATGTTCTTTCAATGAGACATTCCTCTGTCATCAAGTAACAGACCAGCTGATCATACATTAGAAGAGCTACACCAAGCGGACAGCAACAATGTCTCCACACTAATGATGTTGGGGATGTTACCGATATGTCATCGGCTACATGTTCATAATGTATTGAGTACTACAGACATCATGACAGATTGTCAGCTATGTTGGTAGACTACTGAGGCAGCAGGCTTATAGGCTATTCTCCTGCCCATTGCAGCCCAACTTGTAAAGATAGAGGACAGCTCCATCTTTTGAGCCCATTACACAACTAGGTAACATTTTCAAAAATTACTGATGTCTCAAAAATATTGCTAATAAACTTATTTCATAAATATCTTTATAATTCTAATATATATGTTACATGTACAATATCAGATACATCTTTGCAAGTAGACTTGTGTTTAAAATCAGTCAAAATGTTTTATAAACACAAACCACTAAAACTAATTTGAGATCTGGGGGGAAGATTTTTTTTTAAAAATGATTTCCTTATCTCTCACTTTCTCAGCTATTCTTCTTAATTGTACTACTGGCCTCTGACAGCTTAATGCCTTATGCATTCCTCATTTTCTGGGCAGATCACTAATTTGTGATGATAATTAGGGACCCCTGTTATTCCATCTGAGACTTAGATCTTTAGGCTAATTAAAATGAAGTGTTGCACATATGCAAGCAGCTGATAAAGTGTTATAACCAGGCACCTGGAATCTAGGCATTTGGATGGCATCAGAAAAGAGAGAAAGAATATATTGCTGAGCAACAGCAAGAGAAAGAGAACAGGCAGTAAGCTAGTCATGAATGGAAGTTTTCTATCACTACTTTCAGTCTGAGAATTCTTAACTATGCTCAATCATTGCTTTTCTGGTAATGTTTGCTTCTGATACACACACACATACACATACGCGCGCGCTACTACAGTAGTCCTCATTTAGCAGCCACAATTGGGACCAGTGGTCATTAAGTGAATTGGTTGCTAAGTGAAACCACAACTGTCCTTTGGATCATATTTCAGTTTTGCTTTGCTTTACAGATATGTGAATATTGATTGAAATTATTTTTTCATCGTCATTGCAACTGCACATGGTTGGTGTATAAGGTAACACATCTACAGATAGTGGATAGGGAATCTCTGATTTTCCTGAGCAATCATCTGAAGTTAGCATGTTTACTCCAATTTCAATTCCAGACAATTTTTATAATCATTGTTTAATAATCATTGTTTAAAAAACAGTTGTAATATAGCAAAATATCTCTGGCGTGTATCATGGGTCTTTCAGTATTCTGTTTAATTGACTTACATCAGAACCACAGTTCTATGTTCAGAATAGAGAAAGTCAGTCAAAGTCTAGCATGTCACAAAATAGTGGCAGATGGTTAACTGTATTTATATAGAATAGAACAGAACAGAACAGAATAGAATATAGAATAGAATTCTTAATTGGCCAAGTGTGATTGGACAGACAAGGAATTTGTCTTCAGTGCAGATTCTCTCATTAAAAATACATTCATCAAGAATCATAAGATATGTTATTGTTGTAGATACCTTTGGGATTCACAACCTCAAGTGTGTCAAGAGAGGGCTGATTTTGAATGGCATACACTTTTGGGTAAGGACTAGAGGTACAATTGTTTGCTGTGAAATTATCTCTGTTGCATCAAATATGAAATAGGGCATGCTTCATTGACCTTTTAGTGACCAAAAAATCACACAGTGGAAGATTCACAATTCCAGCTATATATAAATACCATGGGGACCATTGTAAATCAAGAATATGAGATTGCAATTATTTTGCTACTAGCAAAAGTAAAACCAGTAAAATCAGCTCAACTTATTATACCATGATTGTTTCTACATATTTCTGCAGAAGTATGAGACTTGAGACTTTCAAGAAGAGATTGGACTGCCATTTGTCAGAAATGGTGTAGGGTCTCCCGCTTGGGTGGGGGGTTGGACTAGATGACCTACAAGGTCCCTTCTAACTCTGATTATCTGTTATCTGTATACATATTTATAAGCCAAAGTAAGAACAGGCACCAAAGTGATATATATAAAACAGTGATATCAGTAAAAGATAACAGTGCTATAAAGTGACCTTTGTCCTTCTGGGATATTTATTAATACAAAAATATTTATTGCAGCAATTTTTGGAGGACAGTTTTGTTCATTTCCTGCAGCAAAACAATGGATGACTGACATCCTAAATATTGCTTCGTTTTATTGTGAAAAATGCCTCATATATGTGAAAGGGACGCAGGCAACATTATCTTCTGTCTATAACGTTATGCTACTTTTTCCATCTCACACACGTGAGTTGTAAAGCACATTTTAACTGATAGCACTATAGCTATCAATTCGGAAGCACCCATAAGTTTTTGTGTACCTTCTGGAAAAGCAGTGGCACTTTTTCTTTGTCCATGTAGCAACTATTCGTTTTGAGGAATCTGTGGGGAGGTACAAGCATACAGCCTAAATTTTCTTGAAGAGCATCATGACAGGTATGCAGAGAAGGACAGCTAAGATTTAGTGCACATTTGACCAAAGTAGAGTCACATTTGAGGGGATGAGATTACAATACTATTTCTACAAATGCTACTTCTCACTCTTAAATGAACCAAGGCATATTGGAGTATTGCTGGTGACAACCAAGTTTCTAATAATCTTTGGGGGCAACTTGAGATCTCTTTGCTTCAAACATCCCAATATAATAAATCTTCTGTAAGAAACAGAATACTCTGATTTTCCACCATATATGTGTAATATCTAGGAAAGTGATTTTATTATCTTATTTCAGAAACAATAAGAAACTTGGTCAAAACAGTACGACATAAACTATACTCGTGTATACAATGAATTGCATTATATGACACAAATTAAAACTGCCAAAATACAGGTAGTCCTCCATTTATGACCACAATTGACCCAAAAATTCTGTTGCTAAGCAAGACAGTTTTATGGCCCATTTTATGAACTTTCTTGCCAAGTGAATCACTGCAGATATTTAGTAACATGGATAATTGAATATGGCTTCTCCATTGACTTTGTCAAAAAATCGCAAAAGGTAATCAACATGCCTGGGGACACTGAAATCATCAGAAATATGAGTTAAGCATCTGAATTTTGATAATTTGATCATGGGAGTCCTGCAACAATTATAAGTGTGAAAAATGGTTACAAATAACTTTTTTCAGTGCCCTTATAACTTCGAACTAAATGAATGGTTGTAGGTTGAGGACTATCTTTAATCTAAAAAATAAAATATGGAATATGCTGTGTTGAAAGCTTATCTGGAAAGTTTCTCCCATTTTTTGTCCCCTCCTAGGGCCTTGAGATAGGAGCATACCTTCTATCAGTCAGTATGACCAGAAAGCCTGATTCAGAGTAATTTTAAAAGAAGTAGGTTGGCGAGATTGATCTAACCAAAGCAAAGGAGCAATGAAATTGAACGTTTTACAAAATGTAAAGCTTGGACTTCTTTTTCCTACAATCTGACCCCAATTAAAATAGCCAGCTTCAATTGCTCCTCTTTTAAAAGTTTCCCTTTCTATTGCTCCTTTCTTTTTTTAATTTTCACCTTTCTTCTGACTATAAGTTACATTCCTTTTTTCCTTACAACAATCTTGTTAAGGTTGAATAGACTGAGATGACCTTTACTGGGGGGAAAAAAAACCCAATTTCTTTTACAATACAAAAGAAACAGCCTGCAACATGGTATTTAATTTGTGAAAACAGCCTGCAACAAGGTATTTAATTTAAGTTTTAACCTGAAGCAATTCAAAACTTGGACGCAGGGAGAAGTTATTTTCGTTTTCTTACTGGCAGAAAAGGAATTTGACTGCTTACATTGCCCACGAATTTCGAATGAGAAGGAGCACATATTATGCTTAAAGAAAGGAAAGTAAGACTCACATCCGCAGCCTGCACTTAAAAAGCTCTTTTCAGGCCGAACTCCTACGCTCTCTCTGCTTGTGTTTGTGAGCTCATCAAAAGCAATTACGAAAGAGGGGCGGCTTGGGCGGAACAGCCGTACAGGAGCGGCGGCGCGAAATTTGAACAAAGCTTCGCCAGACGTTTTCCCTTTTTCTTCCAATATGGTGGAAGGTCCCGGTTGCAAACTGAACGGGGAGAAGATCAGTAGTCGAATTGCCCCGGGTCAAACCGTGAGGTGTGTGCGGGGAACTGCACTGGTCCCTTCTGCGTCGCAAGTTGGAGCCTTAAAGGGAAGAGCCGCTGACGGCGTCTCCGATAGGGTTAGTAGTTCCCGGGGTTCTTCCACGGAGGAACGTGAAGAACTTCACATTCTACTCACAAGCTGTTGGGTTGCAATTAGGCCCGAGCTGGATGGGGCAAACTGCGCTCTTCCGTGAGACAAGGGCAGCAAACCACACCGAGTGCCTGTTAAACGATGGAATCTTTCAAAGCATGTTCTTTTTTGTGCGGAATTGTAATTATAAAATTAATAGCATTAGCTAGGACCAAGAATCCATGTTGTTTAATTGTCCTAACTCATTATTTACATGAGGGAAACCAGTTGTGGCAACCTTCCAGAGTTTGGGTTCAGGCCCTGGGATGAAGTCTGTGGAGAGCAGAAAGTATTCATAAGTAGCAGGTTGGTTCCATACCGTTCAGGTACAGGTACCTGTTCACAAATAATGATTAAAATCCAGAGTAGCAGAAATAGAATGTTAACTGCTAGGATTCCTGTCTGAATCATTTCTGCCAAGACACCAGTGCCATTCAAGAGACAGTAGTACTTAAATAGCTAGTTTAATCCTTAGTATTTGTTTTACGGTTGGGTTAAACCTATTAATTATTGAATCCAAGCTACTTTGCAACTTATAAAGTGGAAAAGGAGTACATGCATGGTTAAAGTAACTCTAATTTTAGGCATTCCAGTTGGTTCTTTCATTAATAATAGCATGGCAAGCCTGGCCTGAATTTCATCTACATCTGATTGGCAATGTTGTGCAGTACTGTGCAAGCTATTATGGAGTTTGACAGCTTTTATGCCAGTGCCTTGTTCCTAAAGATTAAGCATATGCAAGCTGCCCAGTTACTAAATAATCCTTTATTACAAGAGTTCTTTGCATATTAGAATTGCAAAAGACATGAGTGATTGATACAAGGTTAACATAAGCGGCACAGTCTTCTCATTCTCAGTAATCATACGTTTGACTATTGGAGTTTTTCTGGCAGGTTTTTTTTTTCCTGTGTGGCTTTTTTTTCTCCTTGCACAAAACACTTAAAAAGAAATAACCAACATCTGTAATATATTCCTGCCATTAACATAATAAATCAACCACAACAAGTCTGATTAATATGAAGAGTTGGAAGAACTCCGGCAAATATTGAACACGTAAGAAATAATGAGGAAAGTGTCCTCCAGTCATTCAGTCTAATTAGAAAGATGGCAATTTTATTATATTTGTTTATTAAAAAGAAGTCAGTTACACAACATCCACTATAGTTAACTGTCATTAGCATGCAGAAAGATCACATTCAGAAATTGGCATATATCTATATATTATATATATAAACTGGGTGGGTGGGCTTGTTTATTTGTTTAAAAATGTGCTAATGAGGAATACTATTTGTATAAAGACTTAGGACAAGAGGATTTTTTTTCTTTGTTTCCCATATACACAGCATGCCACTTCTCTGCAAGTTTTGATCACTAGTGTTGCCAGCATAAAATTACCCTGTTGGGGCTTGTGGAACTTTACAGGGGAAAAGATGTTGGAATATAAATGAGCAGCTTGGATTAATGAGCTGTGAAGAGCTAAGCCTGAATTCTGGTTGGTAGGATGAATATACCAAGAGAATTGCTGCCTCTGTCTTTGTTTGAATGCAGGCAAAGAAGTGTCATTAGTGGGAATATGATCCACAAAGTGTTCATGGATTTTTAACTAGGGGAAAATATTTGGTAGATTCTATATTTTGGTTTGTTGATTGTAGTAATAAAGGTCATGTTTGGCATCCATTTTAAATACCTCAGTGCTACTACTTTGTAGATAATTTACAAGTACTTTTAGGTTAAATGTGTCCTGATATTGCTATCTTGCCTCACAGATAATCCTATGACTGGGTCCAATGCTAGATATCAAACTTCTAGAATACTATGTATTTAGCTAGATGATTGGATTTAACCAGAGATCAGACTGCACATATAGCAGTTCGTCCAGTAAAATTCTTCCAGGTCCACTTAAAATTCTTCCTTAATATTCAGTATGAGTACCTACAGTATTCTGGACATGGTTAAGAGTATGGTTCAACAAAAGGTGGATTGTGAACTTGCATTTTTTGTGGATTGGGTTGTTTTTCCTTACTGTAGTAAGAAGAAAGCATGAAATTCTACATTTTTCATTCTGTAGGAATATATAATTCAGGAACATTTTTATATCATCAATTTACTGTTTGTTTAAAAGTGAGCTTCACTCATACGTAACATTCACAGCAAGAAAGCCCTGTCATATTTTTCTAGTCTGCTTTATTGAGTGCCTGAATATTCATGGTTAAGTCAATTGTGAGATGTGTTCCCACCTGATCACCACACGCTGGGATAGGAAGCTGTTATAGAGATCAAAGAAGCTGCGGAAGTGGATGCAATTTTAAAAAAAGAAAGAAAGCAATGATCTATCATATCACTTAAGAGAAAATACTAAGAAACTATTCCTATGATATTCCATTGATTTACATCTAGCTATTCACAGCTGATTCTGGAACTGAAAAATTATATTCAAGAGAGCTTAACATTATCCCTATTCACTTTCTGCTTTCATGAACTCAATGCCAATGTCTAATCGTGTCTGAAATAATCAACTTACACCATGACCTTCAGTTTACAACATGTTTATTTCACAAAGGCATTTAAAAATTCAAAAGGAAATTAGCAACTGCGAAAACAGCAATCTTGAGTCTTTTAATTATTTACTATTGTGTATGTAGCTGGGAAGATACTTCATAAAGAATGTCAGCATATTATAGTAGAATGGCAAATACTGCTAAAATATTGCTAATGAGTTGCTAAAAATCATGAAATTTGGGTTCAGCTTTTAAAATACGCTTTCGAATGTTTTTTCCTCTAAATAATTTCTGAAGGAATAGAAAAATATATCTGCATTTTGTATATATGGAATCTTACCTCACAATTGCAATTTTAATATTAGAAAACAAAGTTTTCCTATAGTCCATTAAGATTAACCTAAAACTTAAATAAGCTGTATTATTTAGTTACTTGAGTTTTTAGATGTCATCTTTCTGTCAATAGTGGTAATTGCTGTGAGTGAATGGATACATTTCCTTTCCTTTCTCCTTTGTTTATGAGTTTCATAGGCAATTAGCAAATAAATATTAATATAGTTCACCATCAAGCTATGTTTACATATTTATATAGGTATTCATCTATAAAAATAGATTATGAAATAATAAGGTAGAATCTGTATTGCATCTGAAAATATCCTCAAATTCTGTTTTTTTTTTTCCCCTGGAGTTTTCTGTCTCAATTGCTTGGGAAAAATATTTTTTTTCCTTGTCTTAGATATAGAACTACAACACTTGAGAATAGTATTTTAATACCGTTTCTTTAACTATTCCAGAACTGCTTGATTCATTGATATCCAGCTTCTAAACTGCGTATAGCAGTGGTCCCCAACCTTTTTTGTACCAGGGACCAGTTTCAAGCACAAACACTTTTTCAAGGACCGGGGGGGGGGGAATCTGAGTTTGGTGGTTTGCTTGCAGACGTTTCATTACCTGACTAGGTAACATCTGATGTTGTTACCTAGTCAGGTAATAAAACGTCTGCCAGCAAACCACCAAGTTCAGGGAGCGCCTCGGCCCTGCCTCCCTTAGCCCTATCCCTCAGGTGTCTCCCTCCCTCCCTCAGGTGTCTGCCTCGTTCCTCTCTCAGTCGCTCTCTCGCTGCTCCACCAGCCCAGGAAGAAACTGCTTCAAAGAAGCCGGAGGTGTGTGGCTTTTCCTGTCGCCGCAGCTCCTCCGAAGCGCCCGTTTACCCCCACCCCGCCCGCCCGCGCGCGGTTCAACCCAGTGCTCCGTTCTGCCTGCCTGCCTGCCTGCCTGCCTTCGTTTCGGAGCAGCTTCGGCTGATAAAAAAAGGCGAATAGTTATTATTCTCAGCCGAAGCTGCTCCGAAATGAAGAAGGCAGGCAGGCAGGCAGAACGGAGCACTGTGGATTGAACCGCGTGCGGGCGGGCGGGGTGGGGGTAAACGGGCGCTTCGGAGGAGCTGCGGCGACAGGAAAAGCCACCCCCCCCCCACTTCTTTGAAGCAGTTTCTTCCTGGGCTGGTGGAGCAGCGAGAGAGAGACTGAGAGAGGAACGAGGCGGGAGGAACCCGAAGCTGCTGAGCCAGAGAGCAGGACAGGCTTCGGTTGCTTCCTCCCTCCCCTTCTTTCATTTGTGTCCTTGATCCCCGATCCCAGCAGGATTCACCGAAGGCAAAGAAAGCCGCCATTTTTTAAATTTTTTTTTCTTTGTGGCCCGGTACAGAGTGCTCCACGGACCGGTACCGGTCCGCGGCCCGGTGGTTGAGGACCCCTGGCGTATAGCATTTATGTTTGCATTTTTATCAAAACTTGTTATTTATTAATGAATGATGTATTTTAGTATCAGCTGGCTGTCAGGAATCCAACAAATCCACCCCCATTAAAATCATAAGTCTCTAGCCGCATCTCAGAGAAAAGAAAATTGATTTATTAGAAGTGGCCATGTTGGTGTTAGCTGGATGCAGCTGATACTAAAATACACCATTCATTTCCCCCTTGACCCTGGTCTTCCCCCCACTCCCTGGATGTGTATTCTCCAATGGAACACATCCATCCCCAAGAGTTATCAGTCATGCTCTCCAGTAATATTCTTGCACTCCCAACTTTGGGCTGCCAGGGTGATTATCTAGGCACTTAAGGAATGCACTGTTTTCCCCCACTCCCTTTTTCTGGCAGCTAAAAAGACCAAAGGAGTATCTTTTTAGTTGACATTATTAATGAATCACCTTTCAAGCCATATATCTCTATTGTAGGATACAATATTAAATATATATCTTCTGCATAGTAGTCAAATATAAAATAATAACCAGGGTTTATAAGTAGGACATGCTAGACCAATACTTGAATACAGCTCTGCTGTCTGGAATCCTCACTGTATATCAGACATTAATACAATTGAGCGAGTCCAGAAGTATTTCACAAGAAGAGTTCTACACTCCTTGTTTGCAACATAATACCCTGCCTACACCACCAGACTTGAGGTTGTCTAGGCTTAGACAACCTTGAACTATGCTGGCTAAAATTGGACTTAAGCATAGTACATAAAATTATACATTACAATGTCTTACCAGTTAATGAATATTTCAGCTTTAACCACAACAACACAAGAGCACACAACAGATATAAACTTAATGTTAATCATTCCAAACTTGATTGCAGGAAGTACAATTTCAGCAACAGAGCGGTCAATGTCTGAAACTCACTACCCCCACTCCTTTACCCTCAAACTAACCACTATTGACCACACCCCATTCCTTTTTTTCCCAATTTTTTTATTTCAATCTACATATAACAACAATACATTAACAGTGTGGCATCAATATATCATACATCACACATTGCATATATTCATATTAATTCATACTTCAATATTTATTTTCAACCTTACTCTCTCCAAATGCCTACCACCATATCAGTTAAACATACCTAGTAATTCCATTATTAAATTTTCTCCCTGTTTTCATTTTATTTTTTTAAAATTTAAAAAAAAATCTCATTTGGCAAGCAGTATGGTTCCAGGTTTTACATCTCAATATAAACATGACCATAACTACCTATTCATTTTATTTGTTTAATTTCATATTCATCATTATTAAATATTAAGCTTATCCAATCCCAATTCATGTTCTCTTATCCTATTTTACAATATTATCTAAAATTCTCATCTCAATTCTATGTTCATTTATTCAATTCCAAATCCTAATATATCTCCTTCCATTTTTCTTAGTATATTCTCATATCTTATTTTTCAATGTTATCTAAAATTCTCATCTCCTTTCTATTGTCATTTTCGATGTTATCTAAAATTCTCATCTCCTTTCTATTGTCATTTCTCATATTATTTTTTTCTGTCACATTTGTCATTTTATCAATTCTTATCTGTAAATATAATTGTCCCCTCTAGTTAATAATTCGAGCTAACCACCTTCATTCTTCCTTAATATCAGTCTCCCTATCTAGTATAAAACACAAATATATTTTTTTTCTCAGATTCCGCATTATGTTTTCTCTATAAATCATCAAAATGCTATTTTCAATATATTCTTATACATCCCAACACATTGCCTTACAGAATCCCCTTCCTTATCCCTTTTTTTTCCCACCCATTATCTCTCACTCTTTGAACAATGTACCTTCTTTTCATCCTTGTTTGTTTCCTGTTCCTCTTTATTTTCTGGTCTTTTCTCTTAATTCCCTTTCCCCCCATTTTTATTCCCCTCCTTTTTTCATTCCAGTTATTAAACCTTTCTCTCTCGCTCTTTTGATTTTTCTTTTGCACTTCCTTTTTCTGCTTTTTCCTTCCCTCTTTAACCATTTTCCGAACCATTCCCCCTTTTATCATCCCATCAGACCACAATTTTTTAATTCTAATTCCTTCCCCCCCCCCCCTGTTTAAATAATTGTTGTTCTTTTTGTTCTTCTGAGTTGGCTTCTTCTTTATTGAACTCCCCCTCCTCTGGCTTATTATGTTCTTGTGTATGCTGAGTCACCATTTCTAATTTCTGTAGTACATAACTACACATTTCAAGTTTGATTTTTATCATGTCCCTTGTAACTTGCATATCCAATCTTATATCTTATGAGTCCAGTCTTATATCAACAAGTAGCTCCTCCATTATATCTTCTCCTTTTTTATTTTTCTTTCCTCTTCCTGAATAGCTGAAATCCTCTTCTTTAGTAGATATATTCAATCCCAGAGTCCAATATATTATTCAGACAATATCTTTTAAGTTTATTTTCAACAATTCATACTCTTGAGTCTTTATTCCAAATCCTCTAATTGGCCTTTCAACTGTTTCCCAAATTACTGACAATAATCAAGTTCCTTTTGTTTTCTTTCAAGTTCCAAAATTCTCAAAAAGTTCCAAAAGTCTCAAAAAGACCAGACACTTATTTTAAAACATACTAAAGTTTTCCTGTACCATCAGGTGGTGCTCTTGAGTCTTTTTCTTTTTAACTTTCTTTGTTGAATATAATATTTTTAATTAAATTCGCTAATTTCAATCATTAGCTATTCTTTTCAACACACTCAATTCCAGCATTTAGTTATGCCCTTTAAGTGCCCACAGTTCAATATCTGTCCAGTTTAATTTGTAAACCTTTGTTGTGTTAATGTATTTTCCCTTAAATTTCTCCTCCAAATTAGTCCAATAGAATAATTAAATCCAAATTTAAAAACCCATTTTCTTTCTCATTTCTCTGGTCACCGCTTCTACACACTTTCCTCCAAAATAGTCCTTTATTTTGATACCGGAGTACCTCAAAAGCGATGTCCTTTGCCTGGTTCACACTCTGCTCGCTACTTCTCTCTCCAGTACACAACTTAGCTTCCCGGAATGTTCTTCGTCTTCGTGGTGGCCATTTTAAGACCACCGCTGCAGCTTGCCTTTGGGAGGGATTTTCCTGTCAGGGAGGGGAGTTGCGGCTCCCCTCGACCCTCCAGGCAATTTCCCCCTTCTTCACCACCCCACCAGGATGGCTCCAGCAAGTGAACTCGTGCAAAACCGCGCACGATCGCAGATTCCGCACCGACACCGATAAGGAACAAACTGGAAGTCTCCAACCTCACCCCATTCCTAAGAGGTCTGTAAGGGGCATGCATAAGCACACAATCGTGCCTACCGTCCCTGTCCTATTGTCCCCAATTATTAGTTTCTATTTCATTTATTTCTACTTATGATTATTCTTATTTCTATTATATTGTAAGTGTTTGACTAAATAAATAAATAAGTTCTGCATAATTTGAATTTGGGTTCCCACATTAAAATTTTCCACAGAGTGGGCATCACAATGGAAAAGGTCTTGTTCTTAGATCACATGAAAATATTATTCCGGAGGGTACTGGCATAGGAGGCCTCAGCTAATAAACATAAAAGGCAGACTAATCAATATTATAGGATCTATATTGAATGATATTATGAATACTGTGGCTGTTTCATTATTTGCACTTACCTACAACGCAATCATGCTTTGACCTCAGCAATTCCTATGATGTGCCATTATCATTTGCAGCCATCACTGAGATTTTTTTAATAGCAGACATAATATTGACATCAACATGGTTCTAGGCTTCCAACTAGGTAGATGGCAGGTCAGCAGATCCACAACTCTTTCATTTGAAGAAAAAAGAGGAGACAAATTTGCACTTGTTTGCCAAGTCTCTATATTCAGTCACTGCCTCTCTTGCCAAGCATGAAATCCTGTTCCTCAAAAGCTACCCAGCTTCAGTTATTCCTGCTTTCTTGGATAGAAATAATTATGCAGCCACAATTAGGTCTGTTTTTATCTCCATTGGGCCTATTCTGCCCTGAAGTCTTTCCATATGTTTTGTAGTTCTTAATTATTATGTTAATTATTTTAACTTGGGTGATACCCAAATGGGATGTGGAAGAAGGGATACATGCCAGCCAAGCGAAGCTTAAGCAGTTTCAGTGAGATCGTGCTGTAAAGCACTGGATAGCTGTGATGTATTGAAAAGTAATGGTAGCAAAACCAGAGAAGCAAACCAATCATTTTGGCAATGACTTAGAATAGATGCGGCCAAGGTGGAAAAGGAATTGACAAAGAAAACATCAAATATTTTGTCAGTGTTGTTTTATACTGACTCAGTGGTGAGTAAATAATACTTCAACTCAGTGATGAGAAAATTAGACATTTTTTCTGCTGTTGGCATCAGGGTAGATCTTTCAGTAGCTTCTATAAGGAGTCCTTGACTTAGGCAACCATTCAGTGACCATTCAAAGTTACACCACCACTGAAAAAAGTAACTTATGACCATTTTTTCACACGACTGTTACAGCATCCCCATGGTCATGTGGTCAAAATTTGGGTGCTTGGCAACTGGCATGTATATGACAGTTGCACTGACCTGAGTTTATGGGATCATTATTTCTAACCTTCCAGTCAGCTTCTGACAAGAAAAGTCAATGGGGGAAGACAGATTCACTTAGTGACCATATGATTCACTTAACTACAGTTATTTACTTAACAATTGTGACAAAAAAGGTCATGAAATAAGGCACAACTCACTTAACAACTGCCTTGCTTAGCAACAAAAATTTTGGGTTCAATTGTTGTCGTGTATTGAATTATGTAATGAATATGACATATGAATATGTCCTGTAATGAATTATGTCTCATAAATGTGAAACCAAAGTTTAAACTTATTTCCTAACTTTTATTTTGTTAATATTTTCAAACTGTTCAGATTACCGGAAATAAGAGTTGGTGCCAAAGTTTCTTAAAGGTGGTTAATGGATGTGTGTACTGTGGCGTGGAAACTTTGGGGAAAGAACTTTTCATGTACTTTGGAGAGAAAACCTTACGGTGAGAAAGATATATTCTTAACTTGCATAATTCAAAGGAATTATTGTGACTTACTGATCCCTAGAAAATTATTTTCTTCTTGCCCAGATACAAAGTAAACATTTGATCATACCAGCTATACTAAAGACTATGAACTTCATAAGTATGAACATGGCTTAGCATAAAGTTGTAGTTCTACAATAATCAATTAGATATTTCCTCCACCATTTTGTGGGTCATGAGCCAAACAAACCCATAGTATTTTAGACACCACTAAAACCATATGCGTATGTTTAAACTAAATAAATGTTTAGTTTAGCTGTCCCACGCTTAGATATTTATATGAATTAGCTTAAACCAAACAAACAATTTTTAGAGCTAAGATAAGCTTGACATTAAAAACACTTATATTCCATTTTTTATTTATGTCTCAAATTTACAGGGTCACTCATCTCACACAAAGTGACTTTTCAGACACATTCTTGCAGGCATGGTTTGTTGAATTACATGCCAATATTGAGGGTTCTTTAGTGTTTGGTACCTAATGGGCACATTCTTTTCCCTATTATCACTCCACTTTTTAAAAAAATCAGATCTCTTTTTAAAATTATTTCAAACATTACCTTAGTTCTTTATGTTTTCCTCAGTTACTAATACACAGTTGGGAAGACAGATCTTTTTTAGACTCTGACTTTATCATTTGTAAAGGGCTTTGATCAGTTTGGTGGAATGATTAACGCCTGCAGCTAGAAACCAGGAGGCCCTGAGTTCTAGTTCTGCCTTAGGCATGAAGCCAAGGCTTGGCCTGACCAATTTCTCACTAACAGGAAGAACACAAGAACAAACTACTTCTGACATCTTGCCAAGTACAGGAGTCCAGGCAGTTACTGGGACATTTTTTTTGAGAGAGAGAGGGAGGGAAGAAGAAAGGGAGGGTGAGAGAGAGAAAGAAAGAATGTAAAAAAAGGTGGTGGTGGTGGCAGTGGCATTGGGATGAAGGCCACATGAAATTAGGGAAACAATTATAGCATGCTATTAATCACAAGCAAGATAATTTATGAGTATCATTGTATTAGAGTAGTCATAAAGCTAGAAGTAGTTCTGAATAAAATATATTTTAAAATACATTTCTCTTCTAGGATCCACTTTGGCATGAATGGTTCTTTGCGTATAAATCCAGATGCAAGCCAAAACAGAAGTGTAGCACTAGCAGCCTTAGAAATACAATTTACTACTGATTTGATTTGTTTCTACGATGCAACTGTACAGCTTAGGTAAAGCAACATATGTTTTACTGGAATATCTTTCATGCAGGAAGGAAAATATTGCCATTCTAAGTCAACAATGGGGAGCTTGCTTAAATCTACTGAAAATATGCTTAATTCTAGTAGTTCACTTCATTTGCTTTATATAGATTGATAGTGACTAGATGGAAAAAGGAGGTTTTTAAAATCCCAGTGCATGTTTAAATTGTATATTTAATGACAAAAAAGCCACTCCCTTGATTCATACTTGGCAATCTCTATCATCAGTTACAATCCCCTTTTACTCATAAATGTTTGTATGTATTAAGCTCTAGTGTTGTATTCATAAAAAAGTTAGAGTAATTGATTTTTAAAACATGTTTGATTAAAAATGCACCTAAAAATCAGCCAGCAGAGATTTTGTTTAAGCTATTAATATTTAGCCTGAGTATTATAAAAATGAGCAGGTGGCAAACATTCTTTATAGATGCATGCCTTACTTCTGTCTCTCTCTAAATCCCCTATATGTTGATTAACCGCTTGCTCTTGATCATGTTTGTTAAGAAATCATTCCTATTGAGTTTTTTGCAAGCATACTTAGGAGTAAGTCCCATTCACTTATATCCTGTTATGTTTTATGGGGTTAATTATTTTTAATTTAACACAGCTTATATATTTACATATGACATGATTTCTGCTTTAGGCATTGTGGTTAATTGAAAACAAGAGCTAAGACTGATTTCTCTGTGGTTCCAACAAAGGAGAAAAAATAGGAAAGATGTGAGAATCCAAGATTCAAACAATCGTATTATTACTGACAAACCATTGTTTGTTGAATTATCTTTGAACTTAGATTTTCTGTGATTGAGAGATTGAGAAACCTAAGCCTTTGCTAAATCTTGTCCTCTGACTCATTTTTGGGTCCAGAAGGTAAAAGCTAAAACAACCAAAAAAATAATCATTCTCCTCCACTCCCTCCTATTTTAGTTCAAGCTCTAGTCTAGCTGTTTTCTCCTCAATTCAGGTTGGTTTTGACAATTTTAATTATTTGTATAATTTCCATACCTACTTCTGAATTCTTTAATGTTTTCATAAAACCACAGAGGGATGTTATCTGTCAGCTTGGGTTCTGCCAATGCTGAATGGCTGTAGCAATTTGTGCCCCTATTTCCAGGGACTTTCTTTAATCTTTAATTGGTTTATACTTCTCCACTTGGGCCTGGTATGAACCCCATGGAGTCATTTTGGATTCATAGTTCCAGCTTGATGTTGTGGCTTGAAGCACCACATATACTTATGTAATCTACCTGTTAAGATTCTTTAGACAGACACTTATTCCCTAGTCACCTCACAATGGGCTTTTGCAATGTGCTTTGCATAGATTGCCCATGAAGACCGCTTGGAAGCTACAGCTAGTCCAGAATGCAGTGCTGCAGGCAGTGATGGGTATATGTATATATATGGGTATTTGTTTTCTTAAGTTTTCACGGGTATTTATATGTATGGTATTCAGCTTTGTTTAGGTATTTTCCCACGTCATTATAG